TTCATACCAAATTTCATCGAAATCCGTACAACCATTAAGGCTACAAACTCTACCAAAAATCCATCCATCCATCTAAACTTTCGCATGTATAATATTAGTGTGATATAGACAACGCAAGCCTACAGTGTAACACACCCTAGAAACACGTACAAAACTTTTTTATACTTGTTCCTTCAAAAATCTTAGATAACAATACATTTTGACATCAGAAACTCTCTTCGAAGTTATTGAAGACGATTTTAGACCCTATACAAGTACAATAATGGGTTATTTACTGTCTCTAATTGAATTAGCTCTTGAACATACCCATTGTATAAGAACTGATTATCAAAAGCTACGCAGTAAGTCCATTCATTTCTCTTTTAAAGGTGACGTTGTCATTATTGAACGGAAACTACCACTGGCAATTATTTTTTCATAAATTTAATCCACAGTTTAATACCTATACATTTCATTGAATTAATGATAACGCACAGATAAATTTGCATATTATCTTTTATCGTAAATTGCAATGATTAAAAAGTAATAAGCAAAAGCAATAAGCAACTTTCCATAGGTCCTTTAGTGACCGATTCGGTAGTTTTATAATCTTTCTAACCTTAATTCTTACTAACATTAGAAATAAATACGAAAGTTTAGATGGATGGATGGATGTTTGTTGAGTTTGTAGTCTAAACGGCTGAACGGATTTCGATGAAATTTGGCACAGATGTAGAGGATAGTCTGGAAGAACATAGGCTACTTGCAATTGGTTTTTTTTTAAATCCGCGCGGACGGAGTCGCGAAATAAGCTGGTTTTTAATAAATTTATGATTAATTCTAGGATGCATTTATTTGGTAGAGTTATAAAGAATACAAAATGGTCGGCAGTTTCAAGGTCATTTACTTCACAAACATCGTTCATAGATTTGACAGTGGACAAAGAAGGTATTGCTACATTCACCATGCAACGTCCACCAGCAAATACTTTCAATATGGAATATCTACATGAAATAATAAAAACGATTGACGATCTGTCGAAACAGCGGGTTAAAGGCATTGTTTTAACTTCTGTAAGTTTTTAACTTTTTCATAGTATGATGTGAATTCGCCAAAATAGCGAAATAACCGATGCCTATAGACATCGGCATATGATGCGTTGCCTATGTTCTCTGTGTTTCATTGAAATATTACTTCGTTGTGATATAGTTACCTACCTAACGCCTTCAGAGTCGATAATTAGCTACTAAGGCAGGCACTTAGTGTAGATTTCTCACATTAAATATATACTAATCGAAGACTACAAAAGTCAGTAAAAAATCAAAAATACATTTGAAATCTTATGAAAGTGGTCTCTCCGATTTCTCAGGTGCGTGTTCTTTCAGGCAATACCTAATATATTTTCCGCTGGCCTGGATATAAAAGAGCTTTATAATCCAGATTTACAGAGACTAGAAAACTTTTATATAGCTGTTCAGGATGTCTTATTAAAATTTCTCGAATTAGACTTCGCCGCCGCTGCCGCTATAAACGTAAGTTCCTTTTAAACATGATGCTTGTAATTTATAGTTATTACTGCTTTCTTTCCTTTCTTGCGATGAAATAGCAACGAAACTTGCATTTATCAGTTTAAAAGGTAAATATGTGGGTATCAACTTACGCCGACATATTGTGATCTAAGCCTACTATTAGACCCAGTTAAGGCCGGACCTATTCAGAAATTCAGAAAGATAGGCAATTTTCCCGCATAAATTCTATCGTGATGATTCAATCTAAAATCTTGAAAAAAATAATGTGCGTAGATGGTGATGTAAATTAAGGTTTTATCCCAATAGATTTTTAACTATTGGTTTCCTGATTGGTTTACCTAGCTCCGACCACATAACAGGAAAACGATTTTAAATTATGAACAGGCCTTACCTTAAGGATGGAGTCTTGCACGACGTAGAACATCCCTTCCAGCTATTATCCTAGATACAAGCTTTTATCCACTTTATTGTATTTTTGTATTGCAGGGGCACACGCCTGCAGCTGGTTGCCTTCTCTCTCTAGCGTGCGAGTACCGTGCGATGGTGAACGGTAATTATAAAATAGGTTTAAACGAGACAGCTTTAGGTATTATAACCACGCCGTGGATGCAAGCGGTGATGTACCAGGTTATACAGAAAAAAGACGCGGAAAGAGCGTTGACTACTGCCAAGATGTTTAACGTGGATGAAGCGTTACAGGTAAGTTTAGCTGTGGGTTTTCTCTGTCCCAATATCTGGATGAAAACATGCTATCCCTATATATATATTATCCCTATATTATATTATTCAAGTTGGAATAACTGAGACAACAATGTCGATGGTTAACACATCTGTAGTTCATCTTGTATTGCGGATGTACATGTGCGTTGATGGCCATCTTAGTGTTGCCGCCGTTTATCCCCTTCTCTTTAAATAAATGTTTCAAAACAGTGTTATTTGACGAAAAAACTCACAAGACTTTAATCTCACCATCAATTTTCTATGTTCTGACTTTCTATGGGATTGATAAGATATTGAAAACAGGTCTATTCTGTCTTTTTCTCGTTACAATCCATCCATCTGTCTTATAGATCCATCCATCTTTCCTTAGAACAAACTCTATGGAGAGAAATAAGTATATGTATCCTGGATTAATGTTAGATTCCAAACAGTTAACTTTTGTTAACAGTTGACAAAAAAATCCATTTCACAGGTCGGTCTCATCGATGAAATAGCATTAGACAAGGAAGATGCTATAAACAGATGCAAACAGTACATCAAGAAATTTGATAAAATTCCTCAACAGGCGAGAGCTTTGACGAAACAACGAATACGACGAACACCAATTAAAATATTAAGAGAACAACGTGAAGAGGATCTTAGGATGTTCTTAGATATAGTCATGACCCAATCAGTGCAAGATAATCTGAGAGATTATTTTGAAAATCTTAAAAACAAAAAAGTGAATAAATAAACCGAATCATATTGTTTCATTTTTTATACAAAATAGTAGCTGTTGCTCGCGACTTTGCCCGCGTGGAATTAAAAAACGTAAAAGTACAGATAAGGTAGTTTTTTAATAGTGTAAGACTTTGAAATTGGCCCAGTGGTTTTTGAGTTAATCTGACTATTATTAAAATGCGAAAGTTTAGATGGATGGACGGATGTTTGTTAGAGTTTGTAGCCTAAACGGCTGAACGGATCTTCATGAAATTCGGCACAGTTGTAGAGCATAGTCTAAAAGAACACATAGGCTACTTTTTATCCCGGAAATAGTTCATGTTCCCGTGGGAGTCATTTTGTTTTTTTATATTAGTGTTGTTAAGAACAAAATTAGTACCGTGCTGTAGGATTGGCGCAACTCTAGATTATCGGCATAAACGTCACGTCTCTAGCTGACAGCTGTCAGTGTCACTAGAAGTATGGATAGATTGGCGCGCATCGAGAGTCTGGCGAGAAGTGTTGCTCTGAGTTTAAAGCGA